AGATTGACATAGGCGATGATAAAAATGGAAAAGAATAAGTATAGATTGCAATAATAAAGATTATAATGATAGGTTGCGTTATTCGCAGTCTTGCTTACCAGTGTAGATCACCAGCGTGGATGATCAATGTTGAAATGATTGGAGGCTTACTCGAGTTGGACGTGAGTGGTGTGACAATCTAGCTAACGTCGAAGTCACACCTCGCGGTCTGCACCCCATTGACGTATCAAGGTACTATAGATGCTTTGAAGACTGTACAACACAGAGGACGTAATTACAGAAATATATTAGTTTAAGTAGATACAAGCGAAGGTAAGACCACTGCCGCATGGACCAGTCTATGGAGTACGATTAACTCATGCGCATTGGTTGTCCTTGACCTCGACGAGGATTGATGAATTGTTCGATGTTCAATGACCAAACTGCCGGATGATTTGGCTACGGCTCAGTGGAATTTCGCTTGCACTACAAAGTCATAAGTTAAAACTGCGTGATCACTTTTACCTAGGGGAGGTTCGCAACGTCTTACTCACTGTGAGTTGATATAAGCAATAGTAGGGATGATTCAGTTTCCAGGTCGTTACTTGTCTCTTCTTTCACATGTTGCACTAGGGCACATGATATGACCGCATCAACTAGTTACTGCTCGAAGGAATTATCTGACGATTCAGTTCGCAGATTTCCCCAGTCGACCATAGATGCATCAATGTCCCCTAGGATTAGACATCGATCCCTTCTAATAAACCGCTTTCCTTGTACCAACCTTGACTTCCCTTCCTTCATGTGAGCTTACCCCAACTTTTTAAACGTCACAATTCATTGTTCTTTATTACTACATTCTCTTAAACGGAGCCTCTGACTTCATTTCATTCTAACAAGAGACAATATGAATTTAATCTAATTTATTATACCTCTGTCTGTTGTACTACACAATATTAAGCAACGCTTGGCGTTCAAATCCAAGTACCTTGCTGCCCTGCTGTTTCTCTTTTTTATTTTCTTTAGAATCTTGCTCTGAGGGAACAGCTATGGAACCTATGACGTCTGGAACAAACTTGACGTATGCGTCAACTCAATGTCATGGTTTATAGCAAGCGCTCTACGAGTCTACTTTATAACAACTATAAACTTAATAAGTTGAGAAGCATTCTATGCTACAACAAATGTTGTTATTTGTAGATCATGCCTGTTAAAATGGCGTGTACTTGCTCATGCAGAAATATTATTATTATTGTTACTAATAGACATCGACCGATTTGCGACCAATTTTTGAGCCTGTTTAGCAGGACATCATTTATCTCACAGCTTGGACTGCGATAGACCAAACCAATGAGCAGCTCTTGCCCCTTGAATTTCAAGCGGTAACTAACCAATTCACACGTCCCACTTTCATGGGATACACTATCAATAATGACAAACGGGATAGCATTCCTAATGAATAGAGCTACTCCCCCTCCTTAACGCTTATGTATTCTGTCGGTCCTTACTAAAGTAAAACCCTCAAAATCGATTTCAATACTATCTATAGACTGTGTCAGCCAGGTTTCCGTGACCGCGATTATGTCTGGCTCTGTAGAGTCAATCTGTTCACCTAGTTCCGACTGCTTAGTGAGAAAGCTTCGAGGTCAAGAAAATCTCCGCATAACTAAATAAACCGTATCAAACTAACTAAAACACTAGTTGAAATTCTTCTCCACGGTGACACATTTGTTCTTTCAGTTAGCGTACTAATACCGATGCAATTGGAAATCAACTCGTCTGGACATCTTACTGGCATAAACTATATTTGAGTTAATAATTTTAACTAAATATAATACCAATATCAACTATTCTACAATATTGATTTTTTAAAAAATATTTTTTAACACGAATTATGTACCACCTATAAGTTAAGTTATAAACACTCATGTTACGGCGACTTATTAAAATATCTCTACGCGGAATCATTAATTATTATTATAATCCCACTTTGTTTAGCTCAAATAATCTTCACTTAAATTTTCTTTTTGAGCGTGTTAGGCATTATTCCAGATGTTTTCAAAATTATTACATGTATTTCCCGACCAGATTCTGCTGCCTCTTTGATTTACATTTCAGCTTATCAATACCCGGAGCATTATTATTATTGGTAACCTCCGGCGCGAAACAATCCCACTCAATTTGGTATCGAACCAACATCACGTAGATTCTTGTGGAAGAGTAGAGTAGTGGCATTAGGCCCTAATCACACAATCCTCAAATCTGAACGGGAGACACTTGAGAAAATAGATGTTCAACATTTAACGCGGAAAAAAACCGAGGGATGAGGAAGGTGGTAACAATGAATTGAATGAATCCAAATTGACCGGATGGCATGGCTCGGTCATGCAGGCGTAGTCCCTACTGAATGTCATCTTATACCTTATTCATATTAAATATATTATTCCGTCTCTAGTCTAAGATTGTTCTCCGTCATGTATTAGTAATTGTTACGATGCAGTGAGTTGGTGTAGGCGATGATGTGACTTCTGCGTAAGATCTTATGGATTAGACAGTTATATCATAACGAATCCACAATTTTAGGACTAGGTCTATTATTAGAGCAGTATCGAAACCAAAGTAGACCATAATTCCACAACACGGTTGCTTCCATTGGAATCCATTGTTTCTTTTTTATTGGTACAGTCGATGTATTTTTTCTATACTGTGGGCGAACGTACTGGAACAGCGAACTAGTGTGACATACCAAAAGACGAAGTGCTGCTTAGGTACTACAGCGAACGTGAAACCAGACACATCGAAAATTAATTCCAAACACCGTGCCCCTAGTTTTACGAGGGATGAACATGGGATGCAATTATGAACTTTGTGTTGTTTCACATCACTTACCAGCATCACAATTAGTTTGAGACGTTTTTCTCACCTACTTCTTTTCACCTTTTAGTCTTAGGAGTGGAGGCCTAGGTAGGAGTGAGATCCGTTTCGTTGTTTGTGTTGAGTGATCTATTTTGTACATATTACCATGATATACTCTATCTGGTGTTATCTTCAGATATCTTACAATCCTGTTGCAAAAAACAGGGATTTTCGACTTATAATTAACCTCCGAATTTATATTTCTACTTGAATTTATAGTGTGTGTAGTTGAAACAACGCTACTGTTGTGCATTCTACGCAATAGACTAAAACGTGGAATGTAGGATAACTCAATGCGGAAGTTTGGTAAGAATATGGGACTTCTAATCACCTAACTTCTGTACTTTTGAAGATCAACCTACCATATAAAAGTATGTGTGAGTCTGACTGAGGGCATTTCTGCCTTTAATCTTTGTACACTTACCAAGTGCTTGTTAAAACAAACAACCAATAGTTTACCTACCAATTGAGTCTGTGATGGACCACCCAATATATTATTTCAAAATATTAACAAGGTTATCATATATCAATGAGTTCATATTGAAATATATCAGTTAAATGCAATAAATACAATAAAAATATAAGAACGTTACTTAATACAGCTACTTGTGCGTGTTCGATTTGATCTGGTGGTCCTTTACCACAATTTTGGTTCGTTTAATATTCCATTTATCATGATAATCCGAAGGTCAGTATGTGTATGTGGCTGCAGTATATAAAGTAGATAACATACGTATTAATTATTATGAATAATATCCACTAAGCAGATGAGAATAACAAGGGTATGTATAAAGTGTATTTGATAATGTATAGCAGCGAGAGCCGTGCTAGTGTACAATGATCGGAAAGTGAAAACAGCGCGTAAATATATATATATATATATATATATATATATATATATATATATATATATAGCGCCTGTAATACTTAATGTCACACACATAAACAAAAAGTACAACAATCTCATAGTGAATGTACAAGCTGTGAAATTTAACCAAAATAAATACAGATAGTATCAAAAACTGTTTACAAAATAAGTTTGTCATGCCATCTCCACAAGTCACACAACAAATATGTTTGGATATTTCAACTTCATGCCCACACTTACTCGCTTCCCCATGTGCTTGCCCGCAGGTTTTACTAATTATTAACAATACAATATCCCAATAACTTGTGTACTGGTTTTTGCATATTCTAGAGTAAATTCACAATGTTACTAGGATAATTGGCATGCTTAAATATACGGTTAACACGATACCAGCTGTTGGAATAAAATAGAGAAAATAGAGATGGTGGAGAAAATTTACAGCTCAGGAATAGAATGCGGCGAAGTTTTGTTCCATGAGCTGGATGGTTTTATCGCGGAGTTTTCATCGTTATTCTGAACGACATCATCAGCACTAAATCCTACCTGACGTTTGTGCTGATGGAAGCTACACGAATAAACCATCCAGTTCATAGAACAAAACTCCATCGTGAAGGAGAATTAGCCTCAAAAAAGTATTAAAGACGATCGTTTCGAAGGACAAAATTGATAGGGATATATGAATATATGTTACGCAAGAACAAATCCTGAGACGCACCTAAAATCGCAACGTTACGATTCATCGTCCTAGCCAGTAACTTCACAAGGAGCTGGTATCCTATTCGCAATTTCTGTTCTTGTAAGAAAATAGATGTGTGTACGTTGCGAATAAGGCAATTAGAAAGAGAGATATCAATCGAAGTAGCTAGACTTATCGCTCAACCTTGATATGATTGACCAGCAAGACGAATATTTAGTTGCATCCCTGCAACTTCACTGGCCCTCCAATTTCTCCATGACAGACTAAAAAGCAGACGTTTTGAGATGTTTCCACATTGACTTTTAACAAGGCGTCGCTTTTATTTACCCGTTATCTGCCCTTATTTTTCTGTTTTTTGAACTAATTGTTCGACGATATAATTTCATGTCTACCGGATGTTTTGTATATATACCATTAAAGTCTGATGTTTTCACAACCATGGCTGTATGTTGAGCTTCTTTTTGATATAAAGTGTGATCAACCTTCCGTTTTTTGTTTAAATAATTCTTTTATCTGTTGTTATGGCTGTGACGAAGACTACTTTTTGAAATTATATAGCAAGTACTATAAATGCGATTTTGTGGCTGGTGTTCAGTTACAACAACTAAAAAAATCTATTTTATGCCTTCTGTTCGTCTCAAAAAATTCTTTGTAAGCGATAATAAACTAAATAGAGATACACGAATCTGGCATATACAAATATATATATATATATATATGCCAGATTGATTTTAATCTATTTGTATCAAGAAGAGATCGTCAGTATGTCAACTAGGTAGTATAAGATAATAGCAAAGATATTCTTGGACATAATATAGGTTTTTGAAGGGAAGCGGACTGTATCCTTAGGACGTTTTCTCGAGTTTGCGACCACGGTGAGCCTAGGCACAAACACACACTAAATGTGAAACGCAACTCAGCACTTTATGCAAAGACAACATGACTCAATCACCACATAGATTTTGATAATACTGTCTAGAACATATGCTCGGCTTTACTCGAAAGTACACGATGTCGTTGCGCCCCTCTCTTCATAAGAGATATTTCCCTTAGACCAGCAATCCAGGGATTGATATGGCTTAAATGTAAATCATATCGGGACAGGCTCTAACACGTTATTATTCTTCATGAGTTACAGAAGAATAACAGGTGATTTGATAAGAATACACAAGATATTATGTGCACCAAGCCACACCTAAACGAACATATGACCAGAACACCATCACCACGCACCTCCAGACAGCTCTCGAGAGATTGCACATCAAATAGAGAATATTGAGGTACGCGCTCAATTTTATCATTAAAGGGTTGTCCTCATTTTAACTGCACTTCAAGACTAAGTGACGACAGCCACATCACTGAATAGCTTTAAGAGAGGATTTGAAAAACAAATACTAATTCATGGATAACCATCTCCATCTCAAACCAGCCGTGTCTAATGCATGTTCATAAATTACCACGGTTGTCATTATCATATATCAGTATCTGCTTCCTATCTTTCGTATTATTACCTCCGTTTCTCCTCTTATTTTTTCAACACCGTCCTCTTACACATTATCAATCAAGTAAATTATTTATTTATTCTTAAAATAGTTATCTTCCCTTAGCACACGAATTATCACATCATTATTTCCATATTGCAAATAACCAACTTCTTGCTTGGTAATGTGATAGCTGCCGGTATCCGAAAATTCTACTGCCCTGGGACAAATACACTCACCCAAACTACAAGGTATACAAATGCTCAAGTAACTATCAAGCTGACTAGAATTGATTCAGTCGAGTGGTTGGACTATCACCCATCGTACATTACCAAATACCTGAAACCGTTCTGAAACAATAAGAAGCGAGAGCAAAGAAAACAATCGGTCTATACAAGCTTGTGACAAAGTTATTGGGCACTGAACAGCAGAAATTATCTTACACACAAATAGGTCGAACTAGTCGTCAATTTGTCAGATAAATTACAAAGTTGACGGATAAGTATGTTATCAACCAGTAGACCGTTTATATGGATCAGATTTGGAGGTATTACAGTAAATATAGTACTAACATCGCATTATAGAAAATAAAAAAATATTAGTCAATATGTGGTGTTCCTTTGAAATTCTACTCAACTATATCGTTACCGTTTGCGACATAGACCCTGAAAGTATGTGTCTATCTAACGAGCATTTACAAAAAAGTCACATTTGACTTATGTGACACTTCGGGAAGGCTTTTAGGATTAACTGATTCACAAAACAACCAGCAAGTTTTTCAAAGTCTTGAAGGTGGCGGCGTCTACATCCTTGTAGCTATTGAAGGTAAACATAATAGTTAAATTTTCAGCAATAAGGAGACAAGTCAGATCAACAAGTGAATGTTCGACCTATGCTTGAAAACTTTGAACAGTACTACCCTAACTTAACAGGTGATTTGTTTTATAAGCTTATATCATATTACAGATCAAATATTACAAAACCTTCATGACAAATCGGAAAGATATTCCAAGAAAAAACATATGAAGCGGACACCGCTTCCAACAAAGGTGACAACTAGCAGAAAAACAAAAAAGTAGAGCGAAATTAAAATATAATCTTGTAATCTCGGTTTTACCGTTACTCATGAGACCAATGTCAACACGAAAAAAATTTCAAATGTAAATGAAACGGATGTTTTAGCTTTTTTCCCAAAAAGTGGGTTGTAGCTTGTATTTATTATAGTAAGGTAGTGAAATGCTTCTCTCGATATGACTTATTCATTCTAGAGCTGAGATGAGTGCCTAATTATTAAAGTATGTCGGCCATTCTAAACCAGTTTAGATCCTTAGAAAAGATTATAAAACTAGCACTTGAGTATGTAGGAACACTAGATGTTAAAATACTACTAAGTAAAGCCAGGTGGAATCGGTTGACACTTCAGAGAGCGAGTTATATTTTGATTAAATTTCGAAGATTAATACACTTAAGAAGTAGACGAAAGTGTTACCATGTGACAAGACCATTCCCTATTACTTCAGAAAAAGGCATCTTAAATTCCCTGTTCTCTTGAATTTGTATGCAGAAATGCTGAATACGTCCGATTTTTATCAATAAAAAGTAATAAACTTTGTATGTGAAAATTATAGAGCTCGTACTTAGCTTACTTTACAGAAATCAAAACACATGTCTACATATTGGTGTCATTTAACTCAAAAGACGCCTAAAAATTTACTATTCTAAACATCGTTGAATACTTCTAAAGCAAAACCCACTTTTGTGTCTTTTCATTAAGTACATTGTAATATATTTGTTTTTTTGCAATCAAGAAAATTAATTCTCATTTGCCACTGAGTTAATAATAAACTCATAACAAATGTTTGTAACTGGTTATGCTATAAGCTCCAAGTTATTTGAAAGGATGCACAACTTCAAGGACTCAAAGTTACAATGTAGGCTTCCAGAACCTAATTTGATATTGTATTAGGCATTCTCGTAATACAGCTTTATTAAATTTAGATTACTATCTCAATGCTACGTCATACTTGCTAAATTTAAAAGGTACTTTTACTGAAGGACGAGAACTTAAAGGTGGTTTTAGGACTAGAAGAATAACGTTTCAACTCATATGAATATATACACGAGCTTATCAATAGTTGTACAAAATCTTAGAACAAACTCAGGTCTCAATTATACAGTTCAACAAAAAATGTCCATAAAGCTCAAATTCTAAAAATCAGTTTAAATTACTGGTGGTTCCAGAAAAATTCTGATATCCAGGACAGTTTGTCCTCCGACTTACGAAAGCATATATCTGTGTAACCTATAATAATATCAGTATATGCGAAACAAGTTTCGAATGAAACAAATGACTAGGCGCAAAGCATCGCGGATATAAGATATTCCAAGTCCTTCATACGAGTGAGTGTTTTCAAATTAGCACATATAACGTTCTCGATCTCATTTACAAGATATTTCTTACTAAAGAATAAGTGTGTATATTCTAACTATACTTACAAGCACAATTGTTTATTAAGAGCTAATTAAAGATGTGAATTCTGAAAATCTTGGAAAACATGTCAGTAAATGTTGATTATAAACATGAGAATCTGAAGTCTTCGGGATGTGGTGATACAACCGATTAATATTTGTACAGTGATCAGCTCATTTTATAGGACGTAAACAATTACTGAACAGTGAAGTATTTATTGGTTGAGTCACCTTGTTTGCTAAACTGGTTGATAGTTTTGCATCATCATCTTAAGATGTAGGCTCCTGTTTGTTGAATGAAGTCAAACGGTAACATACAACAAATATGGTAATGAAACAGCAAACACGCATTACTAACATAATAATACATGGGAAACTAAAATAATACAAACTCTAAATCATCTTTCCGGTTTACATTTTAGAATTTTGAGGATACGATAAAGTTCCACATCAGAAAAATTGTTGAGTTACGAATTTTGAAAATCCGATTTCATTTGGGAGTGTTCACTGATGAATGATGAAGTAAGAAGCCTAGGATACTAATACTGTTGCAGTTTTACAGTGAACTCTCCGAAAGTTTACTAGATATTTGAACTTAATAACGCTTAATACTGGGATGATAGTCTTTCAGCATCAAAGCATTTCGGAAGTATATAAAGCAACACACGAGTGTCAAAACCCTAATATATAAGCAGAAAATGAATTCGGTCAGTAATAAAGAACTAAACAGACATGATAATGGTCTCTACTCATGGACTGGTCGATTGAAAATATCTATTCTACAGACCGGTTTTAGCCTGGATAGCTATGACGTATGAAAATGTGAAGCGGGGTGATATGAAATCGAATCAACCAGGGAGCTGAAGGTACTTCAACATTGAAGTTATACCTGGCTGACGAGTCCTAAATAGCACAAAATTTAGGCATAGGGATTCATATCGACTACCTCGAACTACCTAACATTCATCAAGACTAATTATACAAATATACCTAGATAATTAGTTTATATATTATCTCACTTTAAATAACAAACAAAGTTGATGTAATATCAAAACAACCACGAAACTGATCCAACTAGATATCATAGATCATTTCAACTGTAAAGAAACGTCAAAAACTAAACAACTAGTTTAGAAAAAAAGATTCACTTCTACTATCCACGCAATACATGTCTCAAGAGGTACAAACATATATATTACGGCAAGGTTAGATGGATTTTCAAACCTAAAAAAAACTATGTTTCCAATTTTGTTTCGCCTAAAATTTTGAAAGATGAGGTAACACAAAAGTTAGATATTAAATTTGAATGAAATGAAAATTACAAAAAAAAGAACGAACAAACAGAAAAACGTGACATAAACAATAAATGCATATATAGTCTATTTTTTCATTAAAAAAACAATAACAGCGGCTCAATATTGATAATAGTCTAATTAGCGTGATTTCAATGAGAGAAATAGTATCATCGATGGTAAAAAAAAATACTGCTCAAACATGGATAACTGAAACAACTAAAAGTAATTTCAGAAAATAAAACATTATTTCAATTTACAAATTCTTCTGAAATAGTATTTATTATTATAATAAATGTTGAGAGTGATGAAATCAAGTTTTAGAGGAATTCTATTTGTTAGGATACAATTCTATGTGTGCAATAAAGTCAGGAAATACATTGGATGATTGATGCACTATATTGGATATTTCTTTTTTGGCAAATATTCACAATGAGAAAATCTAATATGTGCTATATTATGTACAATGAGATTTACTGTTGTTGTATGTGCAAGACAGAGGCGAGAGAAAAAAAAGAATGATTATATCCATATCTGTATTATTAGGTATCAATTATAACCACCAGGTTGTTGGTAAGCAAATGTTGGAGTGAAAGGAATTGAAGTTACACTTCCGACTGTTTGTGCAGGTGCTGTCTTTAAAGTAATACCTGGAGAGAAATTTCCAACAAAAATATTTGGTGAACCAGATAGAACATTTGGGGCAGGTAAATGTATCTGAGGATGAATAACATTATTTGTAGGTTGAAATGAAGTGAGTAAAGAAGATCCAAAAACAAGTGGAGCAGTTTGGCCAGGTATAATTGCATTCGGATCAACTTGATAAACATTTGAAAATATTTGAGTTGTATTAGGAAAGCCTATTAAGTGATCTGTATACGTATTAGAAGGAGTACCAGTAGGAAAGGTCATCATCTAATCAAGTGGAAAAGTTTGAAATAAAGCAGAATAACTAGAGCTGTAAAATAAATATTAATGTCATTTAAGCTATTTACAAATCAAATCGCAGGGAATAACCTACTTCTATTTAATGACAATCTATAGGAGACTTGCGGGAAATAAACTTAAGTAATTAATTATAACAAGAAAGTACGTGGCTAACATAATGATAGTGACTCAGTAACTGAACAAGTGAAATTAAGTAAGAATATAAATATTGAATAGATACATGTATTATATTACCAAATAACAATAAACCTAAAGACAACTAGTACAAATATGTTTTATGAAATGAAGAATGATTTTAATTTCTAAGCTTAAAATATTAGAATTTTAAGAGTGAAACATTAGTGATAAAGTGGCATACTGAGTAACAAATGTGTAATACGAATTCTGTTCAAAAGACATTTTGAAAATATCATTATAGTTATTGGAAAATCCTTTCAAATGAATTCATAACGCCTTAGAAACAAACAGGAACTAAGCACAGTCTCTTAAGAAAAAATTATTTACATTTTCTCTTTCACATGTACTGTACAATACACTTAGAATTTGGGAATGATAGGAGATATAAATAATGAATATAACTATGAGTAAATTTATTATGGATTGAGTTGCATATGTATCTGGATTTTGAGAAGCAATATGCAATCATTAAAATGAAGAATTATGTGAGATGGAATGGAATTAACCAATCAGTTGGATTGGTTAACACCTAATCCTTAAAGCTATGAGTCTACAATAGGACACATAATCTTTTAAATGTTCTTTCGAGAATATTATTTAATGAATCACGAAGTAGTATACATTTAGTATGGAGGGAAAAGTCACACCATATAGAAAAAGGGTTAATTACTTAAAGATTTAATGACCATAAAACGTAGTTAAAAGTGTGTACTAAGCAGTATGCTTAAGTGTTCTTTAACAAGTGTAAACAAAGTTTCATTTATTATTTCCAATATTTTCTTTTCAGTACAATTTGATTATGACATACGATATTTTTATTTGAATTCAGTTAAAGTGACTAATTATTCATGTACATGAATCTAAAAATGTTTATAATTAGTGAAATGCCTCTATTGAGTTCCAAGTGTTGTAAAACTGTAAAGAAAAGCTGCGAACATAAAACTAGATTTAAAAACTTGACAGTAATTTAAACAAATAATATTAAAGTGATTCAACGATAGAGGAATTTCTCAATGTCATATTGCTCCCACCAATTTGATAGGTATACAAGTTGCTGATGAGTGCATACTTACAGGAGATCAAATTTTAGACCTTTTCGTTATTGAAATGAGAAATCTACTACTCAAGATAACAGTTAGTTGTATAAACAACTATAAAGGCAAGCAAACATACATCTTTTATTTGTCCTTTGAACTGTGTACTTTTTATAGACCTGCTGTTTCATTAACCCAAAAATAACTTTTATAGCCTTCTGAAAAATATTTTGATATGAGCTTATAGTATGTGATG